AGGGTTTCTCTGTGTAGCTTTGCGCCTTTTCCTGGAACTCACTTGGTAGTCCAGGCTGGCCTCGAACTCACAGAGATCCACCTGCCTCTGCCTCTCGAGTGCTGGGATTAAAGGCGTGCGCCACCACCGCCCGGCCTTGAGCCTGTCTTAAAAAATAAAAACAAGGGGGCTGGAGAGATGGCTCAGAGGTTAAGAGCACTGACTGTTCTTCCAGAGGTTCTGAGTTCAATTCCCAGCAACCACATGGTGGCTCACAGCCATCTGTAATGAGATCTGGTGTCCTCTTCTGACCTGTAGTCATACATGCTGTATACATAATAAATAAATAAGTCTTTAAAAAAAAAACAAATAAACAAAATAAATGCTTCTTCCCTGAGTTGCTTTTGTCGGGGTGTTTTATCAGAGCATCAGGAAAGGAAACAAACAGGACAGGCCCTTCCGGGTTCCTTCCCCAAGCCAGGATCTTAGGGGCCAGAGTGGCTGTGGGTTGAGGACATTCTGAACTGGCTCTTCTGGTGCCGTTGTTTCCCACCACACAGTGTTGCCCATCCCCCACCAACGTAGGCCTGGCCTGGAGGAAAGCCAAGCTTTTCATGCAGGCTCTGCAGCCAGCTGGTCTCCAAGGCCCCGGGACTCCACGGTGCCACCCCAGCCCTGAAGCTGCTCTCCCTCTCTCGTTTTGTTTGTTTGTTTGAGACAGGGTTTCTCTGTCTATCCCTGGTTGTCCTGGAACTCGCTGTGTAGACCAGCCTGGCCTCGAACTCACAGAGATCCGCCTGCCTCTGCCTCCCGAGTGTTGGGATCAAAGGTGTGCGCCACTTGGGCCTGGAGAGATGGTTCAGAGGTTAAGAGCACTGGCTGCTCTTCCAGAGGTCCTGAGTTCAATTCCCAGCACCCAGATGGTGGCTCACAACCACCTGTAATAAGATCTGGTGCCCTCTTCTGGTGTGCAGGCATACATGCTGTATACATAATAAATAAATAAATCTTAAAAAAAAAAAGTGTGTGCCACCACCGTCCAGCTGTATGCTGTTCTCTTATTAGTGCTGGTCCTGATGAACTTGGTTCTTGGTACTTGGCTCCAACGCAGTGGTTCTCAACCTCCCTAATGCTGTACAAGATGATTTTCGTTGCTACTTCATAACTGTAATTTTGATACTGTTATTAATCATAAGGTAAATATCTGGTCACATATCAGATATCCTGCATACCAGAGGGGTGGTGGCAATGACTTTAATTCCAGCACTTGGATGGGGTGAGACACTGAATAAGTCCTAACAGAGCTGGGATGGGCAGCCTCCGCCGCACCTGTAAATGTAAATTAGGCTTACGGAATGCTGGGTACAGGTTAGCCCTTTAAATATATGCTAATGGATGCATTTCCTTGGGGAATAACACAGGAAGGAGGTCTGGGGTTTTGTTGTTGTTTTGTTAACGTTTTTGAGATCGGATCTCACTGTGTAGCCCTGGCTGTGGCCTGCTATTATGTAGACCAGGCTGGTCTCAAACTCAGAGATCTTGGGCCTCTGCCCCTGAGTACAGAATCAAAGGAGAGTACCACCCATCGGGCGAGAGTGAAGATTTTTAATGAGGTTTGTTAAAGCATATGGCTTCCCAGAACCAGAGGTCTTCGGGTTACAGGAGCAGGCACGGTGGGGCTGACACAGGATGGAGGCAGGTGGGACTGCATCACAGCACGTCGTCTCTAGGTAACACCGTTCTTGCTGAGGGTGCCTCTCGGCCACCTCCATTAACCCGGTACCTGCACTGCTACCACACACTGGAGAGCAGAGTTGGGGGTCTTCTAGGGCTGGCTCTCCACCTGGCACCTCTGGGCAGCAGCTTCGTCACCCTGCACGTAAAGAACAGTGAGCGGACACCTCCTCCCACCACAGGCCAGCTCCCCACCATGGACACCCTCCTCCCTCCCACCCAGGGCTCCTCCCTCCCACCCAGGGCTCCTTCCCCACCATGGGCCCCTCCCCCCACCGTGGGCCCCTCCCCCCACCGTGGGCCCCTCCCCCCACCGTGGGCTCCTCCCTCCCACCCAGGGCCCCTCCCCCCACCATGGCCCCTCCCCCCACCATGGGCCCGCTCCCACAGGCCTCTTCCCAGTCTCCTACGCTGCACACTGTGTCTTGTTCCCACAGCCCTAAGACATTCCAGCGCTTTCTGTCAGAACCACCACCTGTCTCCACCTCCCACTCCCATTTCCTCCTCAGCCTATAGCCAGCTGCCTCCCACTTTCCTGCAGTGCCCAGCCTTGAAGGGCCCTCGGCTCTCCAGAGGCACCGGCCTTCCCTCAGTGGCCAGCATCTCTGCTGGGAGACTCTTCTGGAACATCCACTGCTCTTTGCTCTGTCTTGCTGACCCTTATGGCCTCACATCACAGACATCCTACCTGCCCCCCTGGTTTTCACCAGCAGCCTCAGACTTCTTCCTGGGTTAAATGGTTCACCAAAGTGCTCTCCTCATCTCCAGGCATGCATCCGGACGCCTCCACCTCATTTCCTGCATGGAAGATGGACTGCATTCCTTCCCTCCTCCCTCCATTAAATTAATAGATGCTCAATGTGGACTGCGTGGAGCTCTCTCAGCACAGCAGAGCTGATGTAGCCTCTGAAGTGGGCATTACTGCTCCCATTTAACAAAAAAAAAAAAAAAAAAATGGGTGCAGAAGATCCAAAGGCTTGCCCGAATCTCACAGGCCAAGTCAGAATCAGTGGTGGCTCCAGAGATGGTTCCTTTCTTTTATTTTAGGTCCAGAATTACACTGTGTAGCCCAGGCTAGCCTTGAACTTCTGATCTACTTGCCTCCTTTTTCTGAGTCTTGTGATCACAGGAGTGTACCAAAGGCCTGGCCGAGGTAAGCTGTCTTCATTCACGCCCTTTCGTTACATGGTTTCCTTCTTCTGCAGGACTTGTGGGTAGAAGCCAGGCTGGAGCGTGCTGGACAAGCACTTTGACACTGCACTCTCAGATATTATTTTTTATATATTTTTTTATTTATTTTACAATACTATTCAGTTCTACATAACAGCCACAGATTCCCTTGTTCTCTCCCTTCCTGCCCCCTCCCCTTCCCCCCCAGCCCACCCCCCATTCCCACCTCCTCCAGATCAAGGTCTCCCCCGAGGACTGGGATCGACCTGATAGACTCAGTCCAGGCAGGTCCATGAGCGAGAATTGTTGAAACGAAGGTTGGATAAAGCACAGGGACAAATAGCCAAATGAATGGAAACACATGAACTATGAACCAAAGGCTGAGGAGTCCCCAACTGGATCAGGCCCTCTGAATAGATATTTTTTTTTAAAGATTTATTTATTTATTATGTATACAGCATGTATGACTGCAGGCCAGAAGAGGGCGCCAGATCTCACTACAGATGGTTGTGAGCCACCATGTGGTTGCTGGGAATTGAACTCAGGACCTCTGGAAGAGCAGCCAAGCAGTCAGTGCTCTTAACCTCTGAGCCATCTCTCCAGCCCCACTCTAGGTTATTTTTAAAATATTTCACTATGCAGCCCAGGCCAGCCTCAACTTGATCCTCCTACCTACCCCAGCCTCCCCTGCGTTAGGATTTCAGGTATGAGCCTTTAGGCCTGGCTTGAGCATACTTTATCTGGCATTTTGAGACAGGGTCTCAGCAGCCCACACTCCCTAGGTCCTCTGCAACAGCAGTAGGCACCCCTGACCACTGAGCCAGCTTCCCAGCCTCTCGTCTGTGTGGCTAGGAGCTGTGCCCAGGACTTGGCCTGCATCCTGCCACCGAGGTACCAATCACTGCTCTACCTCTTCTGCTGCAGAAAACAACCAGTGCTTTGCTGCAGCCCAACCTTTAACACCCTCTGTATCTTTCTCAGAATGGCCCCACGATGCTGGACTCCCCATCCTTCTCAAGCCCTGACTCCCAGACTCCACTCCCCAACCCACATTAGAACGTTAAATCCCTCAAATCTTCCGTGAACAGCTTCAAAGTTTCATTGCTGGTGGCTCACTGGGCAGCCCCACGCCCATCCAGCGGCTTTCTTTTGGTTCAAGGAAGGGTAGAAGGGTGATAATGATAGCTATGTGGGCTGAGGATGGATTGGGAGGCTCTGTGGTCCTTCCCTCGACAGCGGTTTTAACGTCACGGTGAATAACTGCCGCAGCAGGGAGCAGATGAACGATTGTTCACGCACCCCCGCCTCCCTGGTGTTTGGCTTTTGGATAGTCTATCGATGTTGCTTCCTGGATTTCTGCAACAATCCAACAGACAGGAAGACCACTATGCGCTAGGACAGCAGGAACCCTGCTGTGTCCAGACACACTCTGGATTTCCACCTGGGCCCAGCCAGGACAACTCCACAGCTCTCACAGCAGCCCTCCCTGCCTCTCACATCAGGGGCCCCTTCCTGGCCTCTCCTCTCCATCCGAACCCCACTCTCCCACCTTTACTTTGCCCGGCTCCTTCTCCTGTCCAAAGTCCCTCAAAATAAACTAGTATGCAAAGTGTTTGTGTCTTGTGATGCAGGTGAAGGCCTTGGAAACGGGGCCAGACTGCCCCATCGCGGGGCTCCTCTACCGCCCTGCCTTGACATCGCTAACTCAGCTCTAGACACATAAAGCTGAAGAGGAACTGGATGCCCTTATACAGTGAAGGCTGGTTAGGTCAGTGAGCATCCTGAGAGGTGTTATCAGAGCCGCGCGGGGCGAACTGAGAGGCCCAGAGGCCGTACTGGCAGGATGTAGGATATGAGCAATGAGGCAGACCCAGGGAGGAGAGGCACCCCAGAAGGGCATAGGGAGGGGACAGCAGGCCCAAGCGAACCTTGCTTTCCGACTCCCAGGTTTAGCGTCCCTTCCTAAACCTGTCTCCCAGTTTGACCCGTTAGAGCAGTGTAAATCTGGGGAGGAAGGTGTGGATTTTTCTTTTTTTAGGGTGTGTGCTGTATGCCCCTCACCGGCCCCCAACTCCAGATTCTGCTTCCTCAGTCTCCCAGTGTTAGGATTACAGTGTGTACCACCACGAGGACACGAAGGCAGCTCTGGGTGCTGGCAAAGGCCTCTGCTGACTGAATAGGTAACTCGAGTGTGACAAGCGTGTGCTTTGCTGGGAAGGTTTACAAAATAGGCTGCTTGCATGGCGGCTCATGTACCTACCCTCAGTATGCAAAGGCTGAGGCAGCCTTGCCTCGTGATCAAGGCCAGCCTGGACTAGAGACCATGTCGAAATAAACCCAACATCTCTATGGACATTTGTCCACAAGTACACACACCTGTGCACCCATCTCCTCAGTCATGAGGCTCCACCTCCAGCACAGGTGACCAGACTACAGGATTGACTGACCTGGGCAGCGGAGGTCAGGAGAGCATGCCTGGAGCCGCAGAGCTCCCGTTACTGAGGTGCGAGCCTGACTGAGCGCACCTGAGGGGGCTGATGCTTCAAGCCTGGCTGATGTTGGCGTCCACTGTTGAATGAATATAACAGATCGACACATAGGCACCCATGAGCGCTTCCTCTGTGCTTGAAATTTTCAGTGTTTATTATTTTTTGTTTGTTTTGAGACAGGATCTATCATGTAGCTCTGGCTGTCCTGGAATTCACTCTGTAGACCAGGCTGGCCTCAAACCTGGAGACCCATCTGCCTCTGCCTCCTGAGTGCTGGGATTAAGTGTGTAATGAGGGAGGCTTGGGGAAATGTGTTATCTTTACTGACAGACAATAACTACAGGTCAGGAACAAGAGTCCGGCTGCACAGCAGCTGTCCTGCCGGTCCCGCTGGGGTACAGCTATCGGCTACTCCCACAGCTCCTTCCCAATGGGCGATAGAGGTCACCAAGCTGCACTTCTCTGTGGCTTCGGCAAATCCCTCC